CGCGCGAAATGCGCAACACCATGGATCCCGTTTGTGTGACGTAGCACTAGCACTACAACAATGATCATGATCAGCATGATGAAGATAATGATTATTGGTTCTTCTTTCAAGAAGCTAGAAATTGTTTAAAACTAGTGATACTAACTAATAAGCAAGCAGTAATACCACCATATTGCTAGTAGTAATAAGCCCAGCCCAAGTGCTCCAGGAAAAATGATCAATTGCGAAACAACAGAAATATTTGAGACGCTGAGTGCTGGGGCACGGAAGGGCAGGGCAGATAATTTCGTTCCTTGTTTGACGAGAAATCTAATCCATAATGCATCATCAGTAATATTGGGTGTGACCAAAGTTTTCCACGTAAAAATTTGGCATCATTTTTGGATGAAGAACATAATTGACGTCATTGTGCCCGCAAGCAGTGCTGTGCCGCTTGACCTACATATTGTTCCATGGTTTCAAGAAACATTCACAGTAAAACTAGTTTCTCATCGAACAAACTGCTGAACAAAATCTTCTCCGAGTCCCACTTTTTCGTAATGCTTCTTAGCAAGTTCTAGCTTCGTGAAAACATCTTCCGCACCCACCACATTTCCATCTGGGTCGCAATACAACAGGCTGCCAGTGACATGAAAGAGGGTGATCTTCCGAGCAGAGAAAAAATAACGGGTTTTGTTATGGTGAGAAGATAATGCGGTGTGTTTGCAATCCATCGTATACGAAAGCGCGAGAACTTTTTTGGTATTGTCGTGTCCTGCCATTTCGTTCGGTTGCAAATCGTTCGCTTCTTACCATTTCGTCCACACCCTCCGGTACTACGAGTGTATGAATCTCACCCGGAGGCTCGAAGACATAGCTACCAGCCTCGGCGACCCAGTCGTGTTCCAAATAGGACCATTTCCCCTTCAGAACATGACCGTGGACCGGTCCGGGATGCCGGTGCCTCGACAAGAGCCCCGCACCTCGCACCCTCAACAAGTTAACATAGTATCCACCAGACACACAAAAGCAGAGTGGCCGGAAAGAAACAGAATCTGTCTGTGGAACCCAGAGTTTCTCCTCTTCGATGTTCTCGACACCGTCGAGGGAATGTGAGAACACCTGCGGAACGAATATTTCGCTCAGAGCTTCCTTGGGCTGTTCACCTCGATATGGAGTAAAGGCTTCGTCGACTGGTTCTGTTAGAGCATTGGATATTTCTCTTGTTTCTTCCATCTTTTCATCGGAAGACACGGAATCCAGTGTCGCAGAAGACAGCCGATGAATGGCATACTTCCTAGCCACTGACGACGCCTTTGTCGTCACGAATCCTGTAACTCTCGATATTTGAACCACAGAAAACAGCAATAGCAACAGATTTAAAATGTTTCGACCCATCACAATATTTCTGTCCATCTTGATTCTAGAAGCGTCTCTCGAGTTGTATGTTATTGCTGTCACTTCCTTGTTTTTCCGTTTGTCTGGAGAATGATGGATCTCTGAGTAGTTTTCTACTTGTCTGCGATTTTCTGTGATTGGAAGAGGTTATGGTATGGTACCGGTACGTAAGGTACAGTACGTATTCGTAGTTCGGAGCAAACTTCAACTGAAAACGACTGAATAGATTGCAGGGCGGTTTCGAACGACATTAATTCGAATTTTTTTTCATTCTCACATCTACATTTCCCCTCCCCCCCCTCCACACACAAAAAACTAGTACAGTAGTTGTGTCCTTTATATTTCAATTAATTCATTCCTTACTACTTGAAAATCTCCATTAGTGCTTACTACTGGACAACATCTACTATAAGTTCTTGTTACTAGTGAGGACAAAATATTTTATTAGCACTGTGAACTGCTGGATAAGGGCATTATGTACGTGCTGCTGCTCCCCTCTCGCAAAAAAATTCAACAATCAGAGGCTTGTTGTTGTTGCTTTCCACCGGAGCTTTTTTGTCCAAGAATGAAGATGGTATTTAAAATTTTCTACTACTACAGAGAAGCAGCAACTTTTGCTTTTTGGTCTAGTTTTTGGTGGGGAAGTCCTGTACAAACACAAACAAGTTTTTGGCTCACTTTTAACAGTACTACTAGTACTAGTAGTAGTACTACTACTAGCTACTACTAGTACTAGTAGTACTACTACTACTAGCTACTAGTAGTAGTTAAGAAAATTTGTGTCATCTTGATTTTTTAAATTATTGCTGGTAAGGTCCCAAGATATTACTGCTAGAGCACCATTACCAACAGAAGCCCCTTCTAATCCAGTAGTAGTTTGCAGTCACTGTCACTTGTTAGTACTAGTAGTATATATGATCCAGACTAGTACAATGTGCTGCTGGAGTTTATTATCCACCAGTTCTACTACTAGTACTAGTACTAGTAATCACTGATGGAATTTTTTAAAGGATTCAGGACTGACACAAGATCTCCATTACTAGTAGTAGTACTAGTAGTAAGGAACACAAATAATATAAATATTTATGAAGATGTGTAGAGAGTTTTGGTGTAGTATGGGGTGGGAGAGGGGAAATGGAGAGGGGGATTTTAAAAAATTGAATTTTGATCAAACAACTCCTGGTTCTGCTATACCTTTGGTCATTTTGTACCAGCATCACACATTGCAACTAAATTGAAGAGGGGATTTCAACTTACAAAGAATCTTTTGTTCTTATAGTTTCCTGTTAGCTCACTTTGGGGGGATGTAAAGCAAAAATTGGCTAGTAGCTTGCATAGATACTAGTAGATTCCATGCTGGTGCAAAAACTAAGTGAGTAGTACAAAGGTAGAAAAGTACAAAAATCAATTTACTAGAATTAAATCAATGAGATCATTATTATAGCGTGGGCTATGTTTTTCCTGGTGCCAAACCATTTGTACATTTTTTACTTCAGATGTACAGTGCTATACCTTTCAATACTACTAGTAGTTAACCCCCTAGTAGTATAACCCCCCATATCAGCACTGATTTGGTCTTTTTACTGGGATCCGATTCATGTGCTTATCATTGTTAAGTGTCTGTTGGGGACCAAGATAGAGCTGTTAGAGTGAGTTGACCCTTTGTTAGTAACTCTCTACATGTATTTTGTATGGTGCATGGATTTTGGGCCATGATCTAATTACTGTGTAATGACTTGTGGGATTAAAAATTTGGATTTGTTCTACTACAGGTACACAACTGGTGGGATTAAAAAATTCAACACTACTGAGCATGCACATTTGTATGAATTTAGTTTATTAGTCAAAGTAGTCATTACATGCAAAATAAGGGCCCAAAACCTATGACTGGTTCATGCTTTTAGTAGCCAACTATATATCATGAAATATCCTTCTACTATTAGTTGTTTCTGAAATATGAATGGAGTTCTTGTTTGCTGTCTATCAATTTCTTGTTGGGCATTCATGTCCATGCTGTTTTTTGGTAAACAGAAGATGAGTTCTGCTGTCTTCAGGATATCATACTGTCATATACTTTGTATGTTCGAAGATGAGTTCTTACAAACAGACAACTGGGAGAAGTTATAATTCTTGAAAGCAGCACAACACAAATTCAAGAATTGAGAATTCTTACTTGTGTAATATTTTCCAAAGATCTTCTCTTATAGTATTCTGCAAACACACCACTGAGTTCTTGTTGCATGATCATCATATAGCGTGGGCCAAGCAAAAAAAGACGGTTGTAAATTTACATTAGCAATTAAAGATATACATACATGTATATTGGTCAATATTCGTCATACGCCGTACTCCCCCACGGCATTAGAAAGCTCTTTGAATTCTCTTTTTAACCATGTGCTTATCATACGAAAAAGTTATGGCTGTTTGAGTGAGTTGAACCTTTCTTAATGCCCTATGTGTTTTTTGCACTGTGCGTGGATTTTGGGCTATCTTTTTACTGTTGTTGTTCCTGTTATGTGGACACTAACAACAACACCCCCAGTATTTGACCTTGTGACCAGTGGTCACAGAGTTAGGAGATTTATTATCAGCAGTTTCTTCTTCAAGAAGATACTCACACAGCTGCTCCTTTGGGTGGGCTCAGCTGTAATTTGGTGAAAGAAGTACGACGTTTCCTTTTTTCTTTTTTGGCTTTTTTTTTTTTTTTTGGTTTTTTTTTTTTTTTTGATTTTTTCTTTTTGAGTAGTACATGTGTCCTCACACACTGGGGCGTGACTTGCCTTAATTGGCTTGCCAGTGTGCTTGACACCCATTTCCTTGATCACTGCTGTGCCTGGGAACTTGCCTACAGGTTGGGGATTGAGGCCCCCCATCCTACGGGCTTGGTAGTGTGACCCCATTGTTTTATGCCCTCTGAGTTTAGCCCTGGGCCGTCATTGGCCTATCAGTGTGCATAGAACTTGGTCGCGCCTCCACAAAACCTCCTCGGAGGGAGGCGCCGCCCCTTGGAGCAGCTAAAAGCATTCTTTCTAACAAAAGCAATGGTTCTGGCCATCCAAGTGCCTCTTCGAGTTCACGAGGTTAAATATAATTTTTAGAATATTTTTTTAGTTAACAAGTTGGATTCCCTTGTCACTTCTGCCAGTCTGATTGGTGATTGTCTTCCACCTAATGATGATAAAATGTACCAAGAACCTTTGCTTTGGATACTATGTAGTATTTTGAGTATTTAGCTTCCCCCCATTACAACTCCAACCCCCCTAACTTCTTGTCCCCTCATTCATTTCTTCCCTTACTAGTACTGCAAATTTCAAACAAGAAAATATCAAACAGTCCCAACTAAAAATATTGGTAATAGCAGTGGCCCTTCTCCTGTTGCTAGTAGTAGTACTACTAGCAGAAGAAGAAGTCCCTCCAGAGATGATATGAGCACTGCTTGTTGTTCCTCTGATGATACTACTATGAGGAGTAATGGTTCCCTCTTGGAAGTGGATCAACTCCTGGTTCTGATGTCACCAACAAGTAGTACTAGTAGCAGGACTTGTTCATATCTGATATCTCCATTGATAACACTAGTAAAGAACTCCTTGATCATGACATCTCTGATTCATCTCATCTTCTTGTTGAGCAAGATGAATGATTGGAATATTTTTAACAGGATTTGATCCTCATGAGTCAATCTGAATCAAATACCTCCTGAATGAATGTGATTCTTTACTATTGGAAGACTGTCTAAAGTTCAGGTCAAGCATGTCCCAACTTTCCAAGGTAGTATAAGGCCATAAAGCAATCCAGAGTCAGTGAAAGAATAATTATTGAAGTTCTGGTTACTAGTAGTAGTACTAGTGGCATATTCCTTGTACAAGATTGCCAGCACTTTTAGTAGCCTTAAATGTGATGAGTTTATTCTGGAGGAATGATGGAAGGTGTGCAAATCAAAAGACAATGGTGGGAGGAAAAGATTGCTTCTTTCAAGCTCGTTTTTGCATTAAATTAATCACCAAATGTCTGTTGAAGTGGATTGGAAAGCTGCATACTAGGATGATGAGGATTCTAAGCCAAAGAGACTTCCTTGCTGGACTTCAACAAAGAATGGAAAATAACACCTTTGAAATACTTAAAGTAATAATGGGATTTGTTTCTGCAGTGTGAATAGTAAGTAGACCAACACTATTGGTGCTGAAGGTACTACTAGTAGTATCTTCAAAATAATATTCAAAAGATGCAGTAGTGGAATGTATAAAGAAGTGAAGAGGAACCATTAGTTCTGCTATATTCTTGTTTGTGGAAAAGAAGCAAAAGGAAAAATGTCCTCCTAATTCATCAATGAGGAGGGAGTAGAGGAAGTCACTAGGGACAAGTAATGATAATGGTGGTAGTACCTAGTACCAGCAGTACTAGTAGTCTACTAGTAGTAGCATGAAGATGTCCAGGAATAGATTCAAAAGTTGAAAGGATAATATGCATTGATGTCTGTAAAGAACATTGGAATAACTTCTTTGATTATTATGGTGTGATCTGGCAACTTGTCATCATCTATTGATTGCTGTGTTTGTTGTTTGAAAAGCTCAAAAAATAGGTTATTGCACATTGTTACTTGCACATCTTCTTATCTACACCATGGTGTATGCTGCTGCATCAACAATATCCTCTGAGTTTATTATTGTCATATTAAGTACATGATGAGCTGTCATACAACAAATTGAGATACTCATTCAATGGTTTCCAACTGTTTATTGCTAGTAGCAGATGATGTCTCATTCACAACAAGAAGATATTTTTCCGTACACCAACCTGTGTAATATTACATTTATCACAACATAGCAGAGAGCTCTATGTCAAAAGAATACTGTCTTGTTGCTATTGATATTTTAACTGCTGGTCTTCCACAAGTCATGTTGCCTAGTATGACAATAAGAGAACCGTTCATTGGTACCAATGCTTTGCAAAGAAGTGGCTAAATGTATTTTTTGTGGCGATCGTCCTCTTGCTGTCATTTTGAATATTCAATGTTGTATATTGTCTTTTCAAGCTTCCAGTACATGCAAAGCTTCTTATAGCTTCAGCATGAGTTTTCTAGCTGGTGAATTTATACAAAACACTTCTTGCTGCTACTAGTAGTGCTACAACAACAACTAGTAGTAATAGCTTGTTTGGATGTATTTTGTCTCAAGTCATTTGGAGGGGAACCAGTAGTAGTAATACCTGAATCTACATTGTGAATTCCAATTGCAATTCTTTCAGTAGTGTTCTTTGATGCTTGTTGAAGCTTGATATATTACTATATGAATGAAAGTTTTGATGACGGTGGTGCTTTGATTTTCCAGTTTTTAAATTTCTGCGAATTCTTGTTGAATTCTGTTGATTTCTGGGCTGTGTTTCAATAATTCTCTTAGCATAAGAATCCTGCAATTTGACAGTCATCAATATTGTGTTCCTTCTACATCTAGTAGAGAATACTTCTACTAGTATTAGTTAGTACTACAATCAACAACAATTTGATTGCTGCCTTTAATTTGTTGATGTTGACTTCAGTATGTTTTGCTTACTTGTTGTGTAAGTCCCTGATGATCACAAGTAAAATTTCCCAGAAATACCACTGAAATGTAGACTTTCTTGGTCAATTTTTGAAAGAATGTCATCATTTTTTATTTGGTCATCATTTAATTCTATATTCAGCACCATTTGCTTTACTAAAGGAGATGTAGTAGTACTAATGCTTGCTTCTACTAGTACTACTAGTAATAGTAGTACCTAATGTTCTCCATTTTTTTTGTGCATCATCACTAATATCACCAAGAAGAGCATGACAACCCTTCTAGATAATGTTGTGCACATCTGGTGCTCCTGTGTAAGAAACGAAGTGTTTGTCAACCCTCACCAGTACTTCTGAAACAACAAGAGCAATTCAACTTTGTAAAAACTTTTGGGCAATAATCTGCCATCATGTTTTTGGTTCAGTGTTACTAGTACTAGTAGTGTGAAACATATTCACAGTACTAATAACTATACAGTTTTGTCTAAATTTTGTCAATATGCCAAGTGTTACAATCATAACGTCAGCATTAGCAACTTTTGGAACCTTACTGCTGTTAGTCACATTATTTATGTCATGCAACAAACCTAATGAATTTTGAACAGAGTAAACGCATTACTATTACTAACCTAACATTTTTGTCAATCATACTATCCTGGATGTTGCTGTGTTCATAATAGCATTAGCATTAGTAACGTTTCTGATATTATTAATGTTATGCGACCCTCATAAATAGAACTAACAATGTTCGTACTACAGTTCGTCACTTTTCACTTGTTGCCTGCTTGTCTTCTGTTGCTGTTGCTTTTTGAACATGAAAAGTGTCTGCCTCGCAATCTCCAAATCCCCTCCGGAAGATGCCACCCGGTCGATGGCCGTTCGTTTCGCCTCTTCCGCATCGTTGTAATCCGCGGTCAACCGTTCCACCTCACCACGATAGATCGCTTCGGCTCTTTCGAGTTTCTCTTTTAGATGTTTGATCGAGGCTTTGAGTTCGCTGACGGAGAGCCGGTTGTATTCGTTCACGGCATCCCTGACCGCATCGTCGGCACACCCATCGGGATTTCCCGGCGAGCACAGCATCGGCAAGAGAATTTCTTTGGAAAAGACCGAGAGTTCGTGGTAGGAGCGTTTCCCGTTGTAGTCGTCGAATTCACGGTGCTGCAACTCATTTCTGCCATCGTGTGTTCGTTCGCCGTATCTCAGTGTCGGGAAAGATTCGATACCGAACCAATTGCACAATGCCTTGCCTCCCCCAGCGACAGAATCGTCGGTGCAATCGACTTCTGCCACCAGCAGTCCTCCACTCTCCGGATTGTTGCTGTCGCCGTTGTAGTCTTCCGCTAGCTTCTCCCAATCCCCCTCCATTTTCTTAGAATGACTACACCACGGGGCAAAAAACTTGACGAAGACTAAGCTCTGACCTTTTGTTGCCGTTTCAAAATTGTCGCGAGTGAGCCGAACGACGGCCGATCCTTTTTGTTTCCCGACCGCCGTATAGGAAGAAGCATGGGCCTGATTTATCGTCACGGAACACCACGGTAGTAAAACCGCTGCGAAATAGAAAAGGTAGATGGATACTGCCCCCCTCATAGTGATAGTTTTTGTCACCGTTGCTCTAGTTTCTACCGATGATCGATGGCTACACTTTCGACAACAATTGACGGAGAGGAACTTTTTTTGAACAGTCTCAAAAAAAATTCAAAAACTGAGAAAAAAAATAATTCTTGACGATCAAGACTAATCGAGCTAGTCGATTTTTTGTTTTCGAGCGACTCATTCTTCTTACCTAGCGTACCGTACGGCAACGTACAGACTGAACTGCTCGTTACAGAATCCACAAAATTAACGATAGAGTTCGACCGCGACGTTTCTTCTCACGGAACTCATTGGAAGTCTACGGTTATCCAACCGTTGTAAATTTTTTTACTTCGAAGGTTCGGAAGAGGAGCATCTGCCTCCTGCCTGGCGTGATCGCGGGAGATGCAGCGAGGGCTTTCGTCACTATTCCCACGGATCATCTACAGCGAATTAAGAATGTACGTTCTTCGAAGCTGTCATTACGCCAGCAACGGATCGGCCAATCAGAATTCGAAAATTTCACACGGCGGATTTTCTGAGAGTCATTTTCGCCTCTTGTGGTCCCATGCGGCCTGATGTCCACTGGCGATTGTTTTGCTTTCGTTGATACTGTATTTTTCTCGCGATAAAAAATACCAGTTTCTCAACCGTAGTTTACAGTAGTTTGTACCGTACCCAAATAGCCTTACGACCGACAGCTGCTAGCTTCCTTGCATCGGTCTCACCGCCGGTAGTCATAACATCGATTTCCGTCGAAGTAAAACAACCATGAAGTCTATCATTTCAATCCTCCTTACTCTCTTTACCGTGAGCAATGCTGTAGAGCTCACCCCTGCCAACTTTGATGAATTGACTGCGGGCAAGACCGTATTCATCAAATTCTTGGCGCCTTGGTGAGGGCACTGCAAGGTGAGTCCAGGTTTTGTGTTTCGCCATCTGCGTATCTGCGTGCTTCACGCGTGTTGTAGAGTGCCATGGGTTTGGGATTCTCTGGTATCAGGATCCATTGCGGCGGTGGAACGGTTTTCCAGGTGCCCCACTTGGATGTGGCAGTTGCCACTTTGTCGCGCAAGCTGTGGATGGAAACTAGGAGTCTGTTTCGAATTGGTCACAATTGTAAGATAGGAGATGACTTTGAGCTCAAAATGTTTTCCTTTGCCGATTTCGATCGCACTCTTTCTTTCCAATCGCCGACAGAAAATGAAGCCTGATTGGGACAAGCTAATGGACGCATTTGCTGATTCCCCAACCGCTCTCGTAGCCGATGTCGATTGTACTGCGGAGGGCAAAGACCTATGCAGCGCACACGGTGTAAAGGGATACGTAAGTTAACGAAATTTTATCGATGTTTGTATTATCTGCGCATGGTTGAGTGTTATGGTTCAGTCGACAGTTAATTCACCGATGCAAAAAGCTGAAGGATGGTCGATTATGATCGCACTCCTGTATGATTCCATTATTGCAACACACGGTATGATCCGATCGTTACTCATTGCCGCTTCCATTCCGAACAACTCCTTTCCACCTTTGCGTGATTCGTTTTCTTTCTTTCTTGTTTCCATTTTATCGCACGATGCGATCCTGCGAACACACACAATATACCTTTTGTTTCGACGACAGCCTACCATCAAGTGGGGTGATCCATCGGCCTTGGAAGACTACAATGGTGGCCGTGACTACGCCTCTCTCGAAACATTCGCCAAGGAGAACCTCAAGCCCATGTGCTCTCCTGCCAACATCGATCTCTGCGACGACGCCAAGAAGGCCGAGATCGAGAAATTCCTCGGCATGGCCGGCGAAGAGCTCGACAAGTTGATTGCCGAAGGCAACAAGAAAATCGAGGACAACGAAACCAACTTCAAGAACGAAGTATCTAAGCTTCAGGCTCAATACCAAAAGCTCATGGATGACAAGGACTTGGAAGAGATCAAGATCAAGGCCTCCGGTCTTGGCCTCATGAAGGCCTGCGCCGCCCACGCGGCCAAGTCCAAGGGCAGCGACGAGCTCTAAGCGGCACCGAAGAATCGATAACGACTTGGATTGATTGGGTATTGGTGTTGTAGCCGTTGACTCGGGCTCTCATTGCAGGTGGAAGCGTATTGTATGTCGCGAACCGTTGGCGACGGCCGACACGAGCGGATCGGAGCCTTGGGTTACCAGCAGATGCAGGAATGACGTTGCCATAATGCTGATTCGTTCTTCTGAACGGATTAGATAGGGAGCCGATAAGAGATACATATCCGTCAAGCCGACTCGCTTCATTGTTGGCGAACACGGGGAAACATCTCGTTGCACCTGTTGGAACCTGTACAGGCACCGGTTTTATTACGAGGCTTGTTTTTGCGTGATTGGAACCTATTTCAGTGGCTTATAAATACCACTACTTTAAAGATTACATTCAAAGTTCAATGATATATTTCGCAACTCAAGAGTAGTTTTTGGTAGCTCGTCCGAATAGCATCCAGGCGAAAATCTGTAGCACGGAACCAAAATTTCGACTTGACAGGACGATTAGTTGACAAGCAATGGCCTGTTTTTCACGGCAAAAGGCTGCTGGTTCCAGAATCCCAGTCCCGTTGAGTCTCATAGAGGCTGGCATAATGCTTGGGACTGCAGGTACCTCTTTGCTCTGGATCCACAACTAGATCAAAAAGAGTAGGGTATTGCTCTTCCAGTCACCAACCAGGATTCGTTCATCTACAGGTACGTAGGTGTTTTATGGTTTGTTGTGCTTCAAGCATTATTTTGTAATTCAGAAATAAGGAAATATCATATTTATTATGTAGTGTCTTGCGCATGGTTTGATTGGCAGTCAATACTGGCCGTCTGGCGCAATGGTAGCGCGTGAGACTCCTAATCTTGAGGTTCCGGGTTCGAGTCCCGGGTCGGTCGTGTTGGAGTGCTTTTTGTTTTGCTTCGTGCTTCCCCCAGCTTCCTCAATGTACTACCGGTACCATATCGTGTTGCTACTACCGGTTGACATTTGGCAGTTTTTTGTTTGACCGGAACGACGTCTGTTTCCTTCAGGTTTGTTTCGCCCTCAATGAATGCCGTGCCGTATGGATGCGAAGAGTGAGTGTCGAGTTCATCCAAATCATTCGAGAGATCATCCCAGAGCTAGAGGAAGCCGATCAAGCCCCCCCTCCAAATCCAGAAAGGGAAGACAAAACCATTGCGATACCTCTGTAGGCCTTGGTCATCGAACGAGACCGAAGACAATGTTTCGGCGACGGATACCCAAAACTACCGACAGCGACATATCCATAGAAACCGGTATCGTGGTGGAAGAAAGCAATGGTCACGGCCGTTCCGGAAGCTCATCAGTCGCCGGTTTGAAAACTTTCAACCGAACGAGGAGGAGCAAGATGTCCAGTTCGCTGGGATCGTTGCCGAAGAACATCTTGTGCTCGTCGCCATCGACGACAACCGTCCTGGCATTCTTTGCGGCGGCCTGGGCCTTCTTGCTACTCCGATCCTACCGTGGCGGAATCACGGCGGCGGGGAACGAGACGTGGTACCCGGTCCCTCTCATTGGGTTCGTGCGTTCCGAGCTGGCGCTGGGGTGCTTTCTGGTGTGCTGGATCCCCTTTTGGGTTCTGGCCACGGGATGGACCCTTGCCGGGCTGCTCCTTCTGTCGCCGCTGGCCATGTTGATCTGTGTTCTCGTCATGCCCGGCCCCCTGCCCATCATCTTTCGGACCGTTCGCTGCTGCGGGATCCTGACGGCCTTCCTGGCGCTGCTGGTCTTCCCGTTCTGGAAACGGCCCCAGGCCGCCGTGGTGGTGTTTTTGGCCATCGCGGTGGCCACGCCCTACCTTCCCGAGTTTGCCAAGCCCATGTTCTCTGCGATCCCCGTCGAAGAAATTTACGAGTACGTCATCAATTACGAACCCGATATCATAGAGGACGTTGGTGCTTCCGCGCTCGAGGCGGGCCCGCTGCTGGACTTTGTGTGGGAAAATCGCAACGACTGGGTCAAGGTCAGCCACGGCCGGGCCCTGGGATATTTCGTGTTTGGGTGAGTAGCTCCCGCGTTGTATTGCGGAATCATCGCAGGAAACATCCTGTGGGGTGAAACGTTTGTTTTAAGTTGTGAAGCGTCCTATCGCTCGGCGCCCATGGTTTGATTCTCGTAGATTAGTGTGTGTCGTCCTGTTAGCGATGGTCTGCGTTGCTACCGAATCCTTTCCAATCCAATCTAATCCATTCCATCGGAAACAGCAAAAACTTTAACCACGACCAGAGAAACCAGGTGATAAATGAATACACCCTCCGCTCGGGATTCCGGTCGACGAGCTACCGAGAAACCTGGGGCGAGAGCGATTACCGCCTCTACTTTCCCCAGAAACGAAAAGAAGTGTCGACCAAGTTCCGGGAACGATTCGGCTCGAGCCTTGCCAGCATCTATGCTAGGGTCTTGGGAGTAGATCCCGGCTTCATTGTGCTGGGAGACACGGGGACGCTTGCGAAGCAGGAGCGGATGGGCTTTCCGGCCGTCAAGATCGTCTTTCCCTCGCTCTTCTGGCACTGGTTCAACAATCCACACACCGACAACTACCTGTACCAGATGGACGAGATCGACGGCAGGCAGTGCGACAAGGACCGACAACGAACCTTCTTGATACCGCTCACAGAACCACCGGGTGCGGGACTGTATTACTGGTTCGGAGACGGAACCCGGGTCGATGTCGACTACAAGGTCGGAAACGTCTACAGCTTCGAGGTGAGCGTCCTGCACGCCATCCGGCCTTTTCCCTACTTCGAGTGGAGCTGGGGGAGCATGATGGATTCGAGGGTTACAATACAGGCCTTTGGCATACCGTGTGGTGACTACTGGTACATTACTCATTGAGCACAATTGCTGGACATTTGGTGTTTCATAACACGCACGTCTAGTACAATTGCTGGGCATTTGCTGTTCATGGCACGTATTTTGTACTTTTGAAAAAATGCAGTGCGATGCTTGTATCTGAACATCATTTCGACACAAATCTATACCGTATACCTCTACATTCAATAAGATGTCCGTAATTGGCACCAATGTTTTCGTACATTCCTACATCCATTGAAGCTGCGAAATACGCACAATTTTCTCATGGATCTGTAACGCATAGTGATCAGGAATTGCGTCATCCTCGAGGTTCACACACAAATAAAGAACAGCAGGAACTATTCTCGGAAGCAAGATTCTAGAAGGCAAGGAATACGGACCAGAAGAAGAAAAAGAAACTGGCAAGAAGTAGAGAAGGGAGAAGACGATCTCTGGAAAGAACCATAAAAATGGTAAAGACCTAACATAAATAGAAGGAAAGTGCCCTCAGCTTTATATATCTACGAGCTGGCGACAGCGGGAAGACACCTAATAAAACAGACACGAATTTGATTGAATTAGAGCAAATAAGTATACCCTTTATTTAGAATATCACAATGAAAAAAAAACAACTAAGTTGTCGAATCAGGGAAACGGAACATCCCTGCTCTGCTTTGGTGCTGAAAAAGCTCACAGTTTCACAATGTAACAAGCGAACCATCAAACATGTACACAAGCTAAATAGGAAACAGTCTCACAGTAACTAAGTGTGCTCAAGTCTCCGCGTTGCAATTAGTTGAGACAAAAGCACACGGCAAGAACAATTAAAAAAAAAAATCTTAATATTATTTTTAACCTCGTGAACTAGAAGAGGCGCTATGTGGCCAGAACCACAGCTTTCATTAGAAAGAGTGCTCC